GATGTGAGTTTGGGTGATCCTCAGGTCTCCTTAAGTTGTTGGCAGTCTCACTGAGTCACTACCCAGTTCCTAGCATCCTTCTAAGGAGTAGAAATCAGTTTATTCTCTGTGTCCTCTGAATATTATCACGGACAAGTTTATTTCTACCCCTTTAAAATTCTAGGTGTAAGTTCCCCACAGACAAATGTTTTCCAATGTTTCTGATTTACATTAGTTTCCTGAGTAATTTCTCCCTGCCACCTCCAAATTTGGGCAATTCCTTAAAAAGGAGAGGCCTCTAAATCTGGTTATGAACCCAACAAACCCCGTGTGTGTGAGGATTGGAGATCTTCTGCTGCTCCAAGTTGATCTGTGACACCAGTTTGACATGAAGCAAAGTGCAGCTGGGGTGGCATCCAAAAAGCTCAGGACGGTACAGCATCCCCACCAGCAAAGGCCCTACCTTTGCTTTCTGAGTCTCCTGGAAACTTTTACAGCCAGGAGAGAGCTGCTGAGCTGCAAGGAAAATTCCTTTCTTGAGCTTGGGGATGTAGTAAAGGCTCCTCTAAAGAATGGTAGGGGAAGGGGACAACTGAAAACAGGTGGCACAAGCTCAGGAAGTGAGACCTTCAATCTCCAAACCTTTTATGTCCCCTTTGGTGTCATTTCCATTTCTTCTTTCTTTAGATTAGTGATGGTGCTAAAGGAATCCCCTCCACCCTGAATTGTAATGGTCACTACTCCTTTTCCCAACCTCAGTAAGATTCCTTTTAAAGCCTATGGCTTGGCAGGTCCTAAGCTGGTGGTGGCAGGTCACAGAATTATTGAAAATGTTCTACCTCTCCTGGGCCATGCAGCCCTGCTATGTGTTAGATGAAAGCTGCTTGTATTGATTCAGGAAGAGCTAACTTCCTCTTATCCTTCTGTGCAGGTGAATTTTTCAGTCAAAGCTGTGCCCCTGGATCTGACAAAAATTCCAACCTCTGTGAGCTATGCATGGGCTCAGGCCCAAACAAGTGTGAGCCTAACAACAAAGAGGGATACTATGGCTACACAGGGGCTTTCAGGTGAGTCTTTAACCCTGAAACAAATATAATAATATCCTAGGCTTGACCAGATTCCTTTTAGGAACTAAAGTGAGATTCTTATGTTCCTAGTACATTACTGCTATATGTTTTAGGGTGGGAGATTTTGCAACTAAATGTAGAGCAGCGTGTGGAGAAGCATCCAGGATCCTCCAGGGCACTGCCTGCCAGACCTGGCTGTCACAAACAGTAGAGACAGGTGTATGGTACAGTTTAGCAATTCTCAACTAGGGGCAATTTGTCCCCCAAAGAACATTTGCCAATGTCTGGAGATGCTTGTGACAATGTTGCAGGGGGAGGTGAGTGCTACTGACATCTAATGGGTAGAAGCAACTAAACATCCTACAATCCATAGGACAGCACTGTACAACAAAGAATTATCCAACCCCAAATGTCACTAGTGCAAAGGTGATGAAACCTTACTATAGTTGAATAAATATTGAATC